AACACTTGCTGGTTATTATCCCTATACATTGCTGCTTCCAGATGCTGATTTGAACCCTCTTTGTAATAAGGTCTGGCCCACAACTCTGAGCTCTAACCCTCATTGAACCCTAATCTTGATCTCTTGATTCCTCCAAGGAGCTGAAGCTCATGCCTTCTCCCAGAATGACTAAGCCTTATGTTCTGTATCGTCTATAAATTTCTTTATTTCTTAATAAATATACTGTGGATCATCTGCCTTGTAGAAAGGCATTTTTGCTGGTAATTTATGGCCTTTCTGATGCCTAACAAAATGTGTGATTGCGTTTATACTCAGAATCTATTTTCCAGAAATTGGACGACTTATATTAAAAAGTTAATGAGCAAACACATCAACCCACCCACACCAATTGAATTTCAGGAGATATTTCTTCGATTACTGTCACATTATGGCAAGCAGTGGGATGGGAACCAGGCACTCAAACATGTCAGCAGTTTCCTAACTGGAGTTAAATACAATTCTAATAGCAACTGCTACAAAACAATTCTTCAAGAAAGACCAGGAAACAGAGAGGGCATAATTAATCCCTTTGCGGTTATGCCAATGGATGTTGGGTTTCATCAGGTTCTCAGGTCTGCTTGAAGAAGTTGGTATCAGAGGATGGAACCATTTGGAAAATTGGTTTCATGACTCAGAGCTTATGGGAGCTCTGCGGAAAGTCAGCTGGGGACCAGCTGGAAAAATAAGGGTAAGAAGAGCGTGCAACTTCTTGCTTGGTGCCACTGATTTCAGTTTACTTTCAGACATGCTTGGGAATCATAATGAAGTATCACCCACCACACTCATGAGTTCTTCAAAGCCTGGCACTCCACAAGCAATTCCATCAACAGACACATTGACCTACAACCAGCCTATGAACCCTTCAGAATCCAAATCAACCACAAAGCCAACTAGAGACAGCACTAACCATCAACCAACCCATGCAAGCACCACCATCCAGCTCTTCATCTCCCAATGACTCACCTGAGGTAAACCCCCCCATCACAAGGCCCTTACTTGAAGTGACCCATACCTGACCCATTACAGCACCACTACACGACCCATATCTGATGTGACCTTCCCATCACAAGACCTACTGCCCACACAAAGCCCTTATAAGCAGGAGAACACCAACATTGACATCTCCTAAACTCCGCTGAAGATGTTAACTAGTCTGGTAACGGGATGTTAAGAAACTGACCCACAAGCTCAGAGAAGGAATCTTCACTCTCCTCTTACACAGGGGTGGGATTCAAATTATTTAACAACCAGTTCTGTGGGTGTGGCTTAGTTGGCGGGCATGGCTTGGTGGTCATGTTATTGGCTGGGCGTGGCCAACTCAATATCACTCACATCAAGGCACTATCTCCTCGCCTGGCTTCTCGTGACTGTGGGGAGGCTGCAACAGTTGTAAGTGTGAAAAATGGTTATAAGTCACTTTTTTCAGTGCCATTGTAACTTTGAATGGTCACTCCACACAAGCAAAGTACCAGCAAAGGAGGGAAAAAAAAACTCCAGAGAAGTTCCAGAGACAGGAGGTCTAGTCCTGCCAAGAATGTAATAAGGGTTAACGGAGGGGCAGTTTCTGTAAGCAATACCAGAATGTTTCCTTCCTGCCTTCCTTACAGGATTAGGCCAGTAATTTCTTCTAACAACTGGTTCTCTGAACAGCTTAGAATGTTAACAACCGGTTCTAGCGAATAGGTATGAACTGGTAGAATCCCACCCTTGCTCCTACACCCAAGCTACAGGTATTTGCCATTATTACAAATGAGGTAAAGGTAAAGGTTCTCCTCGCACATACATGCTAGTCGTTTCCGGCTCTAGGGGGTGGTGCTCATTTCCATTACAAAGCTGAAGACCTAGCACTGCCCGAAGACGTCTCCATGGTCATGTGGCTGGCATGGCTAAACACCGAAAGAGCACTGAACGCTGTTCCCTTCCCACCAAAGGGGTCCCTATTTTTCTTTTTGCATTTTTTATATGCTTTCGAACTGCTAGGTTGGCAGAAGCTGGGACAAGTAATGGGGGCTCATTTCATTACGCAGCGCTAAGGATTCGAACTGCCAAGCTTTCTTAACCGACAAGCTTAGCATCTTAGCCGCTGAGCCACCACACCCCTTTCGATGAGGGAATCAAATGAGGTATCATTCCTCAAACGGAACTGCAACCCACCAAGGTCTTCTGGAAATGCAAATGTTTTCCTCACTGCATTTATGAATTATATCCCATATTGTTTTCATTTTTAACGCGAGTTTCACCTTGACTTTCATCACGCTAACCCTGGCATGAGACAGGCCATTCTAATGGATAAAATCATGGATGCAGAAGAAATGTTTTGGCATTTTTATACAAAGAGTGTGTCATTTTTTTTTAATCCCTTGGCTGGATATTTGATATTTATCAAATATTTTGCCTTTCTGTGTGAGCACCGTTTCTGCTTTAAAGCTTGTAATATAGAACAAGGTGGTTTTGAAGGACTTCTTATTTATTTTTGTAAAAGG